CATTTGCTTGCAAAATATTTGCATTTCCCTAAAAACGGTTACCTTGAGAAACTTTGCGTTCACTCGCATAATTTTCACATTTCCCTCAAGAAACTTTGCATTCACTTGCAAAACCATTGCATCTGCTCACAAAACTTTCAGATTCCCCTGAAAAAGTTTGTTCTCTTTTATTTGCTCACAAAATATTAATGTTTCCTTCAGAAATTGCATTTGCTTGCAAAGAAAAGTTTCTCAGGGGAACGGCAAAATTGTGAGAGAATGCAAAAGCATTTGAGTATCAGTATCCCACCTCATTTTCTTTTTCATCACCATGTCCCCTTACAGGCATCATACTATTTAGTTGATTACATGTTTGTTTACGTTTATTCACATGTAATTATTTTGTGTGTGTGTGTGTAGTTGTTCAGGAAGCTGGAGCAATGTAACACAGAGCTGAAAAAATACAGCCATGTGAATAAAAAAGCCCTGGACCAGTTCGTCAATTTCTCAGAGCAGAAAGAGAAGTTGATTAAGAGGCAGGACGAGCTGGAGAGAGGCTACAAATCCATCATGGAGCTCATGAATGTCCTGGAGCTGCGCAAATACGAGGCCATCCAGCTCACCTTCAAACAGGTATGACTGAGACAGACTCCCTCAAGAAGTGTTTACATTTCAATATATATTTTAATTATTTTTCTCTCTATTAAAAATGAAGCATTTTCCACTTTATTTTTATTTTTTAATGGCTGCCCATTTTCCACAAGTTTGTATGATTCTTTAGGGTCTTCATGAAATATATTGGAGGTCGACCGATATGGGTTTTGCACTGGCCGATGCCGATATTTAGAAATCAGGGCAGCCGATGGCCGATATATGATGCAGATTTTTTTTTTTGCTGATATGTTAATCCGATTTTCTTTTTTATCTTTTTTTTCCTTCATCTCATAAAAGTGACTGAGTAAATGATTATTGCGAGGTACAAAATCGTAATAGTAGTAGTAGCCTAATTCAGAGTAATAATACATGGCTCAAAGCTTAAGCACCTTCTCAAAACAGTTCTGAAGCATGCATTTTGTTTATGTTTGCTGACACACCAGTGTTTCCCACAGACTTGCAAATACAAATTCATTCTCTGCCAGCAGGAGGCACTGTTGGAGCGGAGATCTAGCGGTTTCCCCGGTAACGGCTGTAATCTAATAAGCACTGCTCTCACAAACGCTAACGTTACTTTCAGGCATTACAGGAAAGACGAAATGAAAATGACATCGAAGCTTTTCTGAAGACGGTCGGTTCTTTTTCAAAGATACATTCATATAAAATCACCCGTGCTGCATTTTAATTTTGAAACGTGGAGTGATCAGTTTATTCAACGAGGTAACTCAATGTATGGGAAACACTGGACACTGCTATAAGTCAAATGGCCAAGTGATAACATAAATAAAAGCATTCACACATATTACACAGCCTGCTGCTCATAACTGCTTAAGAGTGCACTGGCCACGAGCGATGACATCGTGGATGCTGTTGTTGGACCTACGCACATATTGCATGAGGAAAGTTAAGGTGCATGTTATAATCAGCCCAGAAGTTTCGTCTGAACTGCATGTGTTTCTGCTTTCACATGCAAATGACTTGTTGCACTTATGAATATGATAACTTTCCGGCATCAATTCTAGTAGGGTAAAACGTAATCCCGCTTTCGAAACAGTCTGTTTTGCCCTGCCATCATTAGCTGAAGCTGTGTGAACAAGAAGCGGCTGCAGAGTGAGTTGCTCCATCTCTCACGCAGCCAGAGAGAGATTCTCCTCTCCGGCGATCCGCAACAACGCTTAGCTGCCCACCGGTGCGCCTGCCTATAAATCGGCCTAATTTGCAACACAATCGGCCAATGCCGATTAATTAAAAAATGCCAAAAATCGGCCGATCAATCGGTCGACCTCTAGTCTATAAAATACTTTGGCTAAAATTCCTCAATGGTCATGTAAAACAACACCCTTTTTACCTTGTAAAAAACAGCTCTGTTTCCAGCGACCCGTTTCGGTGCTTATCTCTTTAAATGATAATGAGCTACTACTCCCCCCGCCCCTTTCTTCCATGGTGCGTGTTGACACAAGACGCATGAATAGCTGCCTTGGACTCTGTATGGCTCGGAGGTGGTCTTATTTAAATAACTAGCTATCTACGTAGAAACTGGCTGCAAATTGAAACCGTTCACTGGTTGGCACTGTTTCAGACTCAGACAGTCCATAACGAACTGGCTGCTTGTTTTCTTTTCAGCTTTTCTGAGCTGGCAGACACACCAGAAACCTAACTAAATGCTAAAAAAGTTAATAATAATAAATTTAATAAATTTTAATAAAACTTTAATAAATCTTAATTATTGAAAAAAGAAAAAAAAGTCATCTGTGCCCACTTATGAATACTGCTTTGTCCCTCTACAGGTGTCTAAGAATTTCAGCGAGGTATTTCAGAAGCTGGTGCCCGGTGGTAAAGCAACTCTGGTGATGAAGAAGGGAGACACTGAAGGTGGACAGTCTCAGGACGAGGGCGAGGGAGCGGACAGTGAGAGGGGATCTTCCTCCCAGAGCAGCGTTCCCAGTGTAGACCAGTTCACTGGAGTGGGCATCAGGGTAAGGAGAGGATGGAAAATCAAATGTTTGTGTGCTGTAAGTGCAGTTATTACATGCTGATATTTGACCAATCGTGTGTTTGTGTGTGTACGTCAGGTGTCATTCACCGGTAAACAGGGAGAGATGAGGGAGATGCAGCAGCTTTCTGGAGGTCAGAAGTCTCTGGTGGCTCTGGCTCTCATCTTTGCCATCCAGAAATGTGACCCTGCTCCTTTCTACCTGTTTGATGAAATTGACCAGGCTCTAGACGCACAGCACAGAAAAGCAGTGTCAGGTACCATCAGCCAGTGCATTGTTGAAAGGCTTGGTCAAAAATAAACTGCTACATCATCAGAAAGCAGCGTATATGAAATTTATGTTTATATAATTCTACCAGAAATGTTGTATTTGAAGTTTCTCATGTCAACACAGCAGACAAAATGCTTTTTCAGGGCTCCAGACTGCGCCTGAAATGATCGCATTTGCGACCAAAAATATTAATTTGCTAGTGATATTTTTGCTGAGGTTGCCACTGTTAAATTTACATGTTATGACTTCAAAATTAGCATCTAATGCCTTTTTCCTATTTGTTTTGTGATGGCATCTTTGCTATGTTGATGTAATAAACTGAGACGATGCGCATCAAAGTAAAAAAAAATAAAGTAGTGAAAAAAACTAACTTTCAAACAGCCCTCATCTCTGCCGAACAGCAGCTAAAAGCAGCTCCAGTTGTGGCAGCATGAGAGAGATCAAAAATGACGGAGATGTGCGAAGTAAAAGTGCAGAAAAGCAGTGTCTGTTTCGTGCACAGCTTGAACAAACTACAACAGGTAAAGCTGTGTAGCTGTGTGGATATTAACAATATATCGTTAACTGTTCTCGTTTATAATTTATACTAATATGGCTTCTTGTTATCAAGATCTTTAGTCTAAATGCTGTGTTCTGTTAATGTGTGAGCTTCATATTATTTGTAGCGCAACTTGCAGTCCAGTAATCACAAGCTTTGTGCTGTTACCTTTTAATAAACAAAGTATGAGTTTTAAAATTCTGCCAAATTCATAACTGAATTCAAACAATAAATACAGTTTTGTTGCTCTTTAATGTAGCATGAGCGATCGTGGCTGGACATGCTCAGTTCAAGCGGCACGTGAACATATCAAAGCTTTCTCTTTACTGCTATAGTGTGAACATTCAATGTTTCAAACTCCGGAAAATGTGTAAAGCTTGTAAACAATGACACGTAACAAAACATTTACCACAGAATAACCATTCAGCGTCCATAAGCTCATCAGTCAGCTAGAAAAAGTAACTATAAAGAGGAGCGTTTTGATAAATTTATGCCCTATATTGCATATTCATATTTTTACTTAACCTGTTGACATAAGAAAGAATGCAAGGAGCTAAAGATTAAATTCAACACCTCCTATATAAATGCATGTTACTAGTGAAGAAAAACAGACTTGATGTGTGCAAGACAACACTAGGATGCATTGAAGAGGAGCCCAAACTCGATGGCAAAGTGATGCTGATATAATTATGGTCCGTGATTATGCCACAGATTCTGTGTAATAAACAAATCTTTGTGACTATATAGTTCTGAAGTGGGAAAAGACGTTTAGTTCCCACTTTAAGTGGACCTTAGTTCCCAAGACATCTACAAGATGGAATAAAATGCTGATGCTGTAAAAGGAGGGGAGACATAGACATGACTGAAATGTTAGTGTTAAAAAGAAAGAAAGAAAACATGTTAATTGTGTGGCACTTAAAAAAATTTTTTGGCACCTAATTTTGTTTCTTATAGGAGCCAATGGCTCCTAAAGTGATTTTTTTTTTTTCTTTTTTGTCTGGAGCCGTTTTTAATTCTATCACAAATACTTAATTTTCTGTAAGTTTCTGATTTTGACACGGCAATATTTTCTGTTTTCAGAAAAACAATGTTTTTTCATAACAAAATGTTTTCACTACAAATGTTTTTTTCTTTTTACTATGAACTATTTTTTGACACTGCATCCACTACAAACAAGGTTTTGTTTTTCACATTTTTTTTCCAAACATTTTCTTTTCACAACAAATTTTCAAACTAAAACCAAAATGTCTTTTTTTTCACTACAAACGAGGCTTTGTATTTCCTTTTTTTTTTTTCTTCCACAAACATTTTTTATTTATTTTTTTCTTCATTTCCTTTTCCTCACGTTTTTTTTTCTCACAATAACAACATCAAAATGTTACTGCTTTTGCTTGAAGTAAATTAGAAGTGGTTTTGCGGTGTATTGATATTTTGTATTGTCTTTCAGACATGATCGTGGAGCTGGCTGGACATGCTCAGTTCATCACCACGACCTTCAGACCCGAGCTGCTGGAGTCGGCCGACAAGTTCTACGGCGTCAAATTCAGAAACAAGGTAACCGGCAACATTCACACTCTGATGTGCCAAGTAATTAACAAATGGAAATGAGTCTTCTGCATAGAAAATGAACTATAAATGGAAGTCTTTTCAAGTTGAAGTTGTACAGATGAGGTCCCCAGACTTACTGTGTGTGTGTGTGTTCATTAGGTGAGTCACATCGATGTGATCTCAGCAGAGCAGGCGAAGGACTTTGTGGAGGATGACACCACTCACGGCTAAGAGAAACAATACACCTCGATCACTCATTTTCCTCGTTTCTCACCCCCGTCTCACCTGGTGTTTTTCCATTAAAAGCCGTTAAAAGCCCACTTGGAAATAAATGCAAAGTTTTTTTTTTCCCCCTCATATTCTGAACGGGGATATACTGACTAATTGTTGTTTTACAGTTATTTTTTGTATTTTCTTTCCTCTTTGTTGATTCTCGTATTTCAAGGATAAAACACTGAACATGTTTTTCAATATTTTGATGAAATGAGCCATGCTTTGCACCTGCTTCAGCCCGAGTTATTTAAAGTTGAGGAAGTTCAGCCACTCTGTTTCAGAGTTAAGCTTCATTAGGGGAACTTATGTAGTTGCTGAGACTGAGTACACAGGTAGGTGAATGTTAAAGATCTACGGTTTGCAGTCTGCCTGTTCGGCACCAGTTCTCTCTTCCTCACTGCTCTAAACCAGCATGAGCTGTTCCTTCATAGTCTTTTTTTTTTTTTAAGCGATACGGCTCGTTTTGAGGTTTTCCAAATGAGCCTAAATGTTTTTATTAATGTTTCGTTGATTTCATTTCTTCTTTAGGTCATTGTGATTTATAGTCTTTTAATGTGTTTTCTGTTACCCAAAAATAATAAAATAACCCTGGTCTTTATCAACATGCACTGGTGTCTTGCCGCTAGAGGGCGCTGTTGTCACACAATGTACTGTTTTGATGTTATTACATCGTTATGTGGTTGTGCTACACCTTGCAAGGAAAAAGACTTTGAGACTCATTTTGGCTTGGGCAAGTAAGTACATTTTATAAATAAATTATATATACAAATGTAAAGAGTATATCCTTGCAAGTTTATATATTTTATATTATATATATATTTTAAATATATCTGTTTTTGTAGGCTTTTTGAAATCAGATAAGCTCTAATGAAATAAATCTTAAGGTAAAATTTTTACCCTGAGCATATAATTTAAATAAGAATTTCTATTTTATAATGCTTCTCTTAATGTTTTCCATCCTAGTGTCTGTCAAACCTGAGCTTATGCAGATTAGAGTTGTGTGTGGAGATCAGGCTTTGCAGAGAACATGCTTGTCAGTAATAGGTTTGTAGTCATTGTTAAAGGTGAGTCATGTTCACTGAAACATTCTGGGGAAATTGGATCCTCTTTCCATCTGCCAACAACACAAATGCAATTTTATCTGCCAGATCTGCTCAGCTGATCCAAGAGTCCTTTGGGCATGTCCATCTCTCTTCTCTTAACTGCTCACGCACTTCTCTCTGCCAGAATCGCGACCTAGATCAGCCCCTCAACATAATCAACAGATGAGACCACCCCATAATCACGGCGAGGCCTGGATAAACCTTGCATAAATCTGTCCCTGCTTTACAGTCATTCACCACACAAGTTAATTTGTTCTCTGACAGGTGCCATGTCAAACCTATAAGCACTTGGTCTTTCCATGTGCCCTTGACTCTGTCTGTGAACAGTGTTAGGGTCCCATTAAACTTGTCAGTTTTGTGAGCAGTGGCCTGATGGGAGAACAGATGCTGCTATCTCAATGGCAGACATGTGTACAAGTACCTAAGGCCCAAGTCCGAGTGTTTATAAATATTAGTATTAATAATAATATTAGGATTAAATAAAAAATTATGATATGTATGTATGTATTAGGGCTGGGACAATAAATCGATGCATTGCGAATCGAGAAATGATTCTGCATCGATTCTGCGATCTGTGATTCTCTCTTGAATCGATTCTGAGCTTAGTTTTTAACAGCAGATGGCACTGCGTGCTTTAGAAATAGCTGTATTTTGCTTGCTTCCAGTTCCTTACACATGCACCATTTGAACCTAAAATAATTCAAAAAGGTTGAAGCGAATTACAAGGATGCTCACTGTGGGCTGTGTTTACATTAATCTCGCATCATAAAAGCCGATGTGCAAGTACATTTAATCACTTACATTATTCAGCCGAACACACAAGGGCTCTTCTTCGTGAGCATTTGAGTGTGCGGTTAAAAACTAGCCTTGAGCATCATCTGCTGTTAAAAACTAAGCTCAGAATCGATTCGAGAGAGAATCGCAATGCATTACGAAGATCTCATAATCGATCAACGAATCAGGATGCATTGATTTATTGTCCCAGCACTAATATATATATATATATATATATATATGGTCTTGTGAAGGTTGTCATACCCCTCATTTTTTCATCTTTTATTGTTGCTGCCACTGCTTTAAATTACTTTTTCCACATGAACCTACACTCCATACACCATACTACAAAGTAAAAAACAGATTCGTGACAACTTGGCAAATTTATTAAAAATAAAAAAATAAGTATTCATACCCAACGCAGTGCTTGATTTAAGCACCTTTACAGCTTTGTACATCTGCATTTGGTAGTTATCTTTCATTCTTCTCCTCACCTCTTCAGTTCTCAAGCTCTGTCAGGTTGGATGGAGGCCGACAGACATTTTCAGGTTTCTTCAGAAATGTTCGATTGGGTTCAATCCCAGGATTCAATCTGGACTAGGTTTTCATTAAGGCTATCTCTATATTTTGCTTGCTTCTACTCTGGCCGCTGAAAAATACCCCCACAGCATGAGGCTGCGAACCACCACTGTTGGGATGCTGCTGTGCAGGTGATGAGTAGTGCCTGGTTTCCTCCACATGATGCTTGGAACTGAGGTTCATCAGACCAGAGAATCTTGTTTCTCACAATCTGAGAGTCCTTTAGCTGTTTTTTGTTTGTTGCTAATTTCAATTTGGTTTTCATGTGTCTTCACTGAGGAGGAGATTGAGTCTGGCTACAGTGCCATAAAGCCCAGATCAGTAGAGTTGTTACAGTGATCTTTGTCCTTCAGTAAGTTTCTCCCATCTACATATATGATCATGAAGCTCAACTAGAGTGACCATCAGCTTCTTGTCACCTCTCTAACCAAGACCCTTCTCCATCGATTGCTCAGTTTGGCCAGGAGGACAGCTCTAGGAAGAATCCTGGTTGTTCCAGACTTCTTCCATTAATGGAGGCTACATGCTTATATGAACCTTCAATGCAGCAGATTTTTTAAATTATTTTTTTTCTCGTAGCTTTATAACATTACAGTTGAACCACTGATGTCACATGGACTATTTTAACAATGTCCTTACTACCTTTCTGGGCCTTGAGCGTGGTGGTTACATTGCTGGCAGGGTCAGAAAGCTCTTGAATTTCATCAAAAATATTTGAAGATGAACGAAGATATTATGGGTTTGGAACAACATGAGGGTGAGTAATTAATGACGGAAATTTCATTTTTGTGTAAACTATCCCTTGAAGTTTTAAACCCTTCTCAGCCGACAACTACGCGCTCCACATATAACCACTCGCTGAGGCATCATTGTGTCATTGCTGTTCCATTTATATTCATGAAGACACAGCGCCTCAACCCCATGTGAAAAGGCATTTACTACCTGCCGTTTTGAGTGGGAACTGCATTCGTTCCTTTTTTAAAGCAGTTTTATGAGGGTGTACGGGACCTGCCAGTCAACCACACCTGGAATTGAACTTTGAACGTATAATTATAATATATGCATACTTTAACCATTATTGCTGTTCTGATGAGTGACTGTTGATTTTTTCAATCCAGTGTAGCATAAACATTGTGTCATATAGGGGCGAGTTATTGTAAATGGCATCAACAGCTGTGGCCCAGCCTTTTTCAGAATAGCGAACTAGTGCAAAGGGGCCACGCCATGACTTAGCATAGGGCTAACGAACGGGGGTGCTAATGTGAACGGAGTGGATTGTCACATAGGTGTTGCTTTCTGCCCTTTTTAGAAATGAAAGTCTCTTTAATGACTTTTCTTTTTTTTTCTTCATTGCCAACACACCTTAAATTATGTATTGCGTTTAATATTATTTGGTTTCTGGTATAAAATAGCCGAATTAAATTCAATTAAATCATATTTTCACATTAAAATAATTGAAAAATATATATAATTTTCATAAATTACATTTGGAAATGTTTATATTTATTTCAGTTTTTGCTGGATTTATAATCAAATTATTTTCATGGTGGATTTTCATTGATTGAAAGGCGTTTGAAACAATAATGAAGGCATGATTAAAAAAAAGCGTCTTAAGAAGTGTTCAAATGAACTTTTATTCATGCCCTGCTCCACCTGTCGTGTGTGTGACTGTTTCTGAGGGGTTTCTGTGGATTGTAAATGGCATCAACAGCTGTGGCCCAGCCTTTTTCAGAATAGCGAACTAGTGCAAAGGGGCCACGCCATGACTTAGCATAGGGCTAACGAACGGGGGTGCTAATGTGAACGGAGTGGATTGTCACGTAGGTGTTGCTTTCTGCCCTTTTTAGAAATTAAAGTCTCTTTAATGACTTTTCTTTTTTTTTCTTCATTGCCAACACACCTTAAATTATGTATTGCGTTTAATATTATTTGGTTTCTGGTATAAAATAGCCGAATTAAATTCAATTAAATCATATTTTCACATTAAAATAATTGAAAAAAATATATAATTTTCATAAATTACATTTGGAAATGTTTATATTTATTTCAGTTTTTGCTGGATTTATAATCAAATTATTTTCATGGTGGATTTTCATTGATTGAAAGGCGTTTGAAACAATAATGAAGGCATGATTAAAAAAAAGCGTCTTAAGAAGTGTTCAAATGAACTTTTATTCATGCCCTGCTCCACCTGTCGTGTGTGTGACTGTTTCTGAGGGGTTTCTGTGAGCAGTTGTCCTGCTAATGTGGAACATTTTGTTCAGTGCTTGCCGTTTTAGTGCCATTTCTTAAACCGGATCTGCTTTCCTGCAAGACAAGAATGAACACTTTGGGATTGTGACTGTGAGTGTCACACATCTGGGGGTGTCAGCAGGAGGCTGATAGATATCTTATGCATTTGCTGTTCATTATTTTAACAGTCACAATGAGTGACAAATTAAAATTCTTTATGCTTATATTTGATATATTTTCTATCTGTTGTTCATTCAGTCTCTCATTCTGTCTAGTTGTTCAATATATTGATCATTCTATGTATGTCTTTGTCATTTGTCCATTCTGTTTTCTGTCTTTAGATCTATCTATCTTATACAAGGACATTGTTTTTTCACTAATGCCTTCAGTAGTTATTATTAGTTATTGAAGGCTATGAGGATTTCAAGTTTCAAACTAATTTCACTGACTTCCCAAAGACTTTTATCCAGGTTAAACTTCTTTACACATCTTGGTTTCGTTGATAAGAAATCCTGCCCAGTGTTTTGAGTCAACTGAAACCCAAACACAAGATCACTTCAGCCAGCATACAGATCGTTAATAGATCTTTGTTTCTGGGACTCTCCGTCAGCAGTAATGTTCCAGAGCTTTACAGTGAGAGAATCCAAGGCTTTGCACATAGACGTGCATCAGGGGCCCCATTGTCCCTCACAAAATGTTAATGGTTGGAAATGTTAATAATCTGTACACGGGGCTCTGGCCTTTGATGATCCGTTGACTAAACTGATCCGGCAGTTCTGAGTGACTGGCTAATGGCATTCCTCACACTTGCTCTATCATTGGCTGGAGAGAGAATGAAAGTGTACGGCAGCCCTCGGGGACTCCCAAATGGTCAAGTGCCTTTAACGTCCCTGCTTCATGTCGTATTCCTCCAGCTTTACCACCAGCCCCTTTGAGCACCCTTTTTTATCCACACTTTTTTTTAGACGTTTGAGGGTCTGGCAGAAGCTCAGTGAGAGGGCGCGAGTGGGCTATCTTTCATTACCGCTGCTGATCCCAGAGGCACTGGAGGCCGATTCAAAACAACACGGCTGCACGAAAAGACTGGACCTCCATTGGGCTTGAGTGCAGAAAAACCTCCTGTAACATTTAAGGAGAGACTCATTGGATTTAGTTTTTTTGGGTAGAAGGCTATTTCTACCATGAAGCAAACTTGGGACAAGGGTGTTTTTGAGAACGGCCAGTCTAAAATTATTGTTGAGAAACTTTTCACTGAACACCCCCAGAGGTAAGTAATGTGCTGCTGTGGGAAAAGTAGTTTGTGTTGCATGGAGATGTATGTGAAATCAATTTATTAATGAGTATATTAAGAAATCTTCTAAACACTTGATGTCACACGGTTCCTCTGGAGACACTGGGATGATGGATTGGTTTGATGAGTGTAACTTTGAGTTCCGCTGCATGTCTGAGCAGTATTATTGTAGCCAGAGGTCTAAACACAGTTATCATTCCTACCTGCTTATCCCATCATGCTTTATCTAATCACAAATGGAAACATGCAATTCACCTATTTTAAATTTAATGCAATATAATTTTAATATAATCAATTGCTTCATTTTATTACATCATCTATATTATACATGTTTATTTGAATGCATTTTTGTATTCTGTTGTCAATTTACTTTTAAATTTACTTTTTTTTCTAACATTGGTTCTGTTTTAGCTAACACTGAATATATGTCCTTGGTTCAGTTAATAACAGACCAGGTAACAATTTGTGTTAAGTAACAAGTTCAATACTGAAAAAAAATTCGAAATTAAATTAAATTCCAGAAAAGTTTTTTTCTTTACCTGTAATTATTAATAATAATTACCATTCCTTACTGATAAATATGGAATAAATAATAGTATTTATTGGAAATGGATTTGGTCAAATTTTGTGACAACAGTTAACGGGACTGTTAAGTAGGCTACTGAAATGAAGAAGAAAAAAAAAATATATATATATATATATATGTTTCCTTATATATTTATATTCAGTTAAATCCGAAACGAACATTAATAAGATTGTTAAATGTAATTATTAACATTACGGATTATTATGGAATAATGTTCTTTTATTTTAAAACTGACATTAGAGTAGACAAAGTTGTTGAATAGCTACAGAAGGTTTAAAAAAATTCAGTTGTATTAATTGCAAAATTAACAGTATTTAACACTTAAAAAAATTAAAAAATCATTTAAGAAAAGTAAACTCAAACTCTAGAATTAATTTGCATGTCTTGCTTAATAAATGATCTAAAAGTAAATATTCTCTTTAATGCATGCACTAAAACACTGATTTACACTACTGATTTAATGTTGTAGAATATAGGATATGACAGAAGATAACTATTCCCTTTCATTGTTTTGACAATTTGAATCACTTCTGAAGAAAGCGAAGAAAAGTGAAAAATGATGAACTTGGGTTTCCACAGATGGACAGCACATGTGAGCCATGTATGTGGCCCCGCTGAATGTTTTCAGCAGATGTTACTAGTGACAAACTGCTGTTTGCTTGTAACAGATAAATGGCACACGGCGTAATCAGTGCTGATGTGTGTGCATGTGATGACCACATTCCTGCAACATGCCTCTCTATGAAATCACTTAGCACTGGTCGAAATATAATACTAATAATGCAAAAACACTTGTGTTGAATACTGTGTTTTTGCAGTTAATATATATTTTGTATTATAAACAGTCGTTTAGATGGTTGCATAGGCAAGTTGTCTAAAGCACAATTTATTTAGTAAATATCCTGCACATTCACTAGGGTACGTCATTTGAGGAGTACTACGTAACTTCTAATTACGTGAGCTCTAATACGGGCAAACAAAATTAGCCCTGTATACCGGACGAACATGGCAGTAATATGCAGTCTTGAGTGAAAACCCCCTGTAGGGTCACCAGTGGCTGATGTATAGAAGCACGTGACTCTTCCGTGTGTGTTACTGACAAATGTGGATGCCAATATTGTTGCAGCGCTAAAAAGGTGTCCGTTTATGGTCGTGCCGTCCACTGATTCTATTTTAACCCATCAACATTCTCTGTTTTTGCACAACTCTTCCTGTGAGCAAGTGAAAGGTGTCTTACGTTGCATATAACCACTCTACACTTCATTATTGATTTTTAGTGTGTGTGTGTGTGTGTGTGTATATATATGTATATATATATATATATATATATGAAAATAAATATAAACAGGGTTTCTGCAGGTCTTGCGTCTTAATTCACCCTTCCACAAATGAAGGCCTTAAAAAGGTCTTAAATCAGAGCAGAAACTTAAATTTAATCACAGCATGTAATGTTGCATGCATTGCAAAAAAAAAAAAAAGGGGGAATATCTTCCTCAGTATTTCTGTCTTGTTTTCCAATATAAATATCCTTTAATCAAGATGTGTTTACTTGAGATGCAAAATGAAGATATGAATCTTGTTTTCTGAGAAATGGATCAAAAGGAACCACGTTTATGCTTAAAACAAGAACAAATATGTCAATGGGGTATGAAAACTTGTTTTCCCTTTGATTGAAGTTGTTCCTCTTTTGTAAGTTGCTTTAGATAAGTGTCTGCTAAATGTAATGTAAATAGTTTTTTCTGAGCCCACTGGCAGATATTCATTCTTTTAGATCAGTTTCACAGAAAACAAGACTTCTTGTGTCATTTTGCTTCTTGATTTAAGAATCTTTAGACACGTGCACTGGAAAACAAGACAAAAATAAAGATGAAGAACATCACTTTTGCAGTGAGATCCAAAAGCACAGTACAAGTTATTTCCATATAGTGATTGGAAATATAACTTCAAATCTTAAGCAATTTTTTTAATACAATGAATTAAAAAGCAGTGGAGAATTATTGGAAGTATCATTTTCAAACCTTGAAGTTTTGCTAATACACACATTGCGTTTCTTAAATGTTATTAAATGTAGTCTTAAAAAGGTCTTAAATATACCTTCATAAAACCTGCAGAAACCAGCAGGACAAAAGTTTGGAATAATTCCGATTTTTAAATGTCTGTTACGCTCAACAAGGCAGCAATTATTTGAAATAAGTAAATAAATAATATTGTGAAATATTATTACAATTTAAAACTTTTTTTCTTTTTGAAAATATTTAAAAATGTGATTTATTCCCGTGATGCATCATTATTCCAGTCTTCAGTGTCACACAATCCTTCATAAATTATTCTTAAATCATTCTTAATCATTCTTAAATGCTAAAATTGTAAAATGCAACTTAACCTAGTCAAAAATTTATATATTTAAGCAACTCTTCAATCTCTCTCTCTCTCTCTCTCTCTCTATATATATATATATAGGATTTTTCAAGTAAGTTGTAAAAGATTTTTCAAGTAAACTTGATCTCTCAAGTTATCAACATTTGCATTGTTGTGTGAAGCGGAAATATTTGTATCTGTATTTAAAAACACTTCGAACACAATCAAAAATAATCCAGTTGTCAGTATCATTTTAAATGTGACTATTATCATTTTGAGATACTAAGGTTAATTGTTTAAAAGTCCCTTCCAGGTTGGCTCCTGCATTAAAACGCCGCAGTGCATTAATCCCTCAGCGGCCTGCGTGAAGATTTTCACAGCCAGCGAAAGGTCGTGGGCTCTGACAGTGCGGTGAAAGATGGGGTATTTTTGATGGATTGTTTTTAAATAGCGCAGTGGGCCACAGCATTAGAGCTGGTATTGTCAGGATGTATCAGGACTGTTGTGGTGTTGTCCGCCACACACTATCGCTCCCTCTTTTTTCCCATACGTCCCTCCTCAGCTGCTCTCTATCACTCTGCCAGCCCGACCCAAAGGGGGAAATTGCCTCGTACCCCCAGGAACGTGAAGGCTGATGGGAGTCCCAGACACCATTCTGGTTTATAGCACTTCTGAGTTTTCCGGATACTGGTGTAAACTGCCGTGTGAATATGCCCCTGGAAAGGTACATTTGTGTTTTTTTTGTTTTGTTTTAGTATTTCACTTTTTTCTACTGCAGTGATGGTTGGTGGTGTCATTTGACCTTTGAACAGTTGGATCTAGAAGTTTCAAACGTCGTAAAGAGTGGTAAATACCATTTCTTAGCGATGGCCTGAGCGCTGTGTTGACCTTGGCTCTTCATAGCATGCGTGTTTGCTAGTATTACCAGGGATGCTTAAATCACAGCTGGGAAATATGTTGTGAATGCCTTTGTCCCTTCAGCTCTTAAGACTACTGGCTATTGGGTTGCCTTTTGTCATTAGCTTCATGTGAATGCAGTCATGAAGGCATATGGTAACACAATGGCCATTCTGGTTTATAGCACTTCTGAGTTTTCCGGATACTGGTGTAAACTGCCGTGTGAATATGCCCCTGGAAAGGTACATTTATGTTTTTTTTGTTTTGTTTTAGTATTTCACTTTTTTCTACTGCAGTGATGGTTGGTGGTGTCATTTGACCTTTGAACAGTTGGATCTAGAAGTTTCAAACGTCGTAAAGAGTGGTAAATACCATTTCTTAGCGATGGCCTGAGCGCTGTGTTGACCTTGGCTCTTCATAGCATGCGTGTTTGCTAGTATTACCAGGGATGCTTAAATCACAGCTGGGAAATATGTTGTGAATGCCTTTGTCCCTTCAGCTCTTAAGACTACTGGCTATTGGGTTGCCTTTTGTCATTAGCTTCATGTGAATGCAGTCATGAAGGCATATGGTAACACAATGCTGCATGGAAACACTTGTGTTTTGAGCTGTTTGATGTGTAGATGCGATAGGAGAGGCCTATAAAATTCTAAAATGACAGGAAAGAGCTGAACTTGAGTCACTATGACTTTTTTAAAGCAAGAAATGTTCCCTTTGTTGGTTCTGGAACAACATTTATGTCAAAGTCTTAAAGTTGAAAAATAGTGGGTAAGACCATTGAATAAAGGTCTGTGTTGAGTTCAAATGGGCTTGTGAGATCTCCAACTGGCAAATTAATCTGCTAATCACGTGCGTGCTGAACGGTAGGGTCTCATCCATACGTATTACGGATCAACTGCGATCCATTTAACTCCTAATATGTGACAGATCCGAGCAATCTTTCATTTACTTATTTAACATGAAATTGTCAAATTGCTACTCCTTATCAATCGCATACAAAGAAAATACAGAATAATTAGAACAATCATTAACATAACAGAGTGTGTCACACATTTTTCCCAGAACGTTCTTGCGACTCGGTAGCAATTCTTCCATGGCCCGGTACACTCTTAAAAATAAAGGTGCTTCAAAAGGTTCTTCAAGCGATGCCATAAAAGAACCATTTTTGGTTCCACAAAGAGACATTCTGTCAAAGGTTCTTTAAAGAACCATCTCATTCTTGCGTTTTTGTAATCTGAAGAACCTTCTTTCGCCACAAAGAACCTTTTGTGAAACAGAAAGGTTCTTCAGATGTTAAAGTTTCTTTATGGAATCATTTAGACAAAAAGATTCTTCTATGGCATCGTGAAGCACCTTTATTTTTAAGAGTGTAGTGGGTCGCGACCCGGTGGTTGGGGACCTCTGGTCTAGACCAGTGGTTCTCAATTCCAGTCCTGGTGACCCCCCGCTCTGCACATTTTGCATGTCTCTCTCATTTTAACACACCTGATTCAAATCACCAGTTTGTTAGAAGAGAGGACTGGAATTGAGAACAACTGTACTAGACAATGGCGTACAAATAAGCAAAACCGCAACACTGTTAGCTTTGATGCTTTCGATTGTCATTGAAGAACTTAATTAGCTACCAAATAACGAAGGACTTCGGAACATTTGTGAAAAGGTTTTATCATCATGTGACAAGAAACAGAATGCCGATGCTAACATTAGCTTCAGCGATGCCATAAAAGAACCATTTTTGGTTCCACAAAGAGACATTCTGTCAAAGGTTCTTTAAAGAACCATCTCATTCTTGCGTTTTTGTAATCTGAAGAACCTTCTTTCGCCACAAAGAACCTTTTGTGAAACAGAAAGGTTCTTCAGATGTTAAAGTTTCTTTATGGAATCATTTAGACAAAAAGATTCTTCTATGGCATCGTGAAGCACCTTTATTTTTAAGAGTGTAGTGGGTCGCGACCCGGTGGTTGGGGACCTCTGGTCTAGACCAGTGGTTCTCAATTCCAGTCCTGGTGACCCCCCGCTCTGCACATTTTGCATGTCTCTCTCATTTTAACACACCTGATTCAAATCACCAGTTTGTTAGAAGAGAGGACTGGAATTGAGAACAACTGTACTAGACAATGGCGTACAAATAAGCAAAACCGCAACACTGTTAGCTTTGATGCTTTCGATTGTCATTGAAGAACTTAATTAGCTACCAAATAACGAAGGACTTCGGAACATTTGTGAAAAGGTTTTATCATCATGTGACAAGAAACAGAATGCCGATGCTAACATTAGCTTCATGTTTGGCAATGAAGTTGTCAAGCAATTAAACACTGCAATCAAATTTGTTGTGTAGGTGTATAGTCATCAACAAAGAGAGGAATGTTTACTTCAAGCATTTATGAAAATAATTTAATTTAGGATCTTCGACTTTTATTAGTTTTAAAGTTTCATCTATATGTAACCATGTTTGTGTGACATCGGCAAACCTGAAAACCAGCTAAGCGTCTTTATGCTTCCATTCACTGCGTCGCCTTCTGATATCTCTGTGATCTTTCATCGTAATTGCCAAGGCCAAATGCTTCTGACACCATTTGGCTAAATCTTGAGGTTCAGACAGTACGTCTGAATGTGCCTTGTTTCCTGCTGTGGCTTGGATCACATGAGAGTTTATTCAGAAAGGTGTGATCTCTCAAATATCAGCACTCGCCCTTTCAGCAACCATAAGATGGGTGCTGTCAGCTGCTTTGATCGATGGACACCGATAAAAACTAACAGCAATTAATGATCAAAAACAGTTTGGTTGGTTAAAGAAATTGGGAAGTGTCAGTGTTTGGAATGACATCGACACAAGTGCTATTTCCTTCACGTCCACGGACAAATGCAACAAATACAGTGTGAAAAGATTTGTCGACAAGGCGACAAGGCACGTTAGCTTGGTGAAAAAGTGTTAGGCTTGGCCCTCAGCTGGTGTCAACCGCTATCAGCCTATTTGTGGTGACACTTATTTGTTTCCATCTTTGCAGAATTGCGGGTTTCCTGTTGTTGCGTTGAGGTTCAGTCCTCTGGGCATGTGTTCATTGCTTTGTTGACACGTAGAAACAACTGGGCTAATCTACAAGTTAAATGTACGACAGTTTTATGGCACTAGCAACTTCTGCTATTTCACTGAAAGGACATTTCTGAACTTGGAACTATTTTAGAAGCAAAAGGCACTCCAGAAATTTACATTGGTGATATAATGACAACATGTATAATTGTCTGAAATAACTTACTTAAAAAAAATCTATCGTTAATTCGTTCATTCTATTTTTATTGTTTGTTCTATTTGTATATTGATTTATTTGATTGTTCGTTCCTTCTATCTATATATCTAATCTATCTATTGTTAATTTGTTATATCTATCGTTAGTTCTATCTATTGTAATATCTATCGTGCTGTCATTCTGTCTATATATCTATCTATCTATCGTTAGTTTTTTCATCTATTGTTTGTTCTATCTATATACCTATACATTTAAATTCATATTTATAATTATTTACTTTTTGACTAACTGGGAAGCTGAATAAAAAAAATATATATAAAAATAAACCTATATTTTAAGTAAGCCAAATATGTGACCTTGAGGTCTGATGACTTCAAAGTGCATCAGAAAAATTTCTCTGCATTATGTATTAATTTGTAGCTTAATCAAATAAATTGGGCCAACTCATCCACATCCAAGTGGTAAAACTGCATGAGTTTATATCTGATGTAATTAGAAATGGGAATCCTGATGCTGTTTCCCTTTTCAGAAAGTGCTCGATGTGACGTCACTGACAGCTCTATATGTGTTTGATTGAATTATATGTAATGAGCTCTGCTGTTGTGGTTGTCCTGCTGAGTGCCGAACATATGCTGAGTACACGTCAGCCAAGTGCAAAGGTCCCTGGGTAAACATTGTCTAAAATTAAAGGAGGTGTTTATCCAAGTTTAATTGGACGTCTGTCCCTGAGCAGAATCGATGCATGAGGCAAATCTGCTTATAAACTACATTTAGCCTTTATTTGATTGTTAAAATACAAGGTCCTCAAAGGGCAGGATTAAAAATCATTGTCATGCCACTGTAGGTACATTCAGTGTTCAATGTCAAATCCCTTTTGACATTGTGTGTCTGTCTGATAACTCCTGACAATACGGTATCACATATCACATTAAAGTCAATCCCTTTCCCTAAATAACTTTATCTCAGTGTTTCCTTGCCTATTTTGTCCACCACATCCCAATCAATTAATGACCCTTAATTCAGTATGTTCCTTTTAGCTCCATTATATTGTCCTTCTTTAAGGGGGGGGGGGGTCTGTCATTATTTACATTCATTATTAAGTCATGTTAGACCTGTATGCTCTTTTGCAACAAAATATTATACTAAAACAAAAAAATATATATTATATTGGATGTCATAATGATTAATTATATTTAAGCCACTTTTAAACAAAAATAATCAAGTAAATCAATAAAGTTAAATAAAAAAAAATTACACATTATACTTTTTCCCCATTTAAAAAAGAAATCAATTATTAATCATGATTAGTTAATTTAACCCAGCGAGTAATATAATTCTAAAAAAATAAATATAAAAATTTATATTTGAATGTTTTTTTTTCTTTATTTAGGTACATTAACTTCTGGTTGGGAGTCATTTATCTAGCTGATGCAGTTAAATTTATCTGAGAGGAATAGTTACACATTGGCAACCATTGCCAACCAGTAAACAAAAGTAAACTGGAAAAGTGCATCTTAGGGTTAGTGCTCAGGTCAAACATTGTTAGGAAAGATTACAAAGACAATTATAATTGCAGCTTACTAATGAATTATGCACAAAAAGAAAGTAAAAGGGGTCAGATTTGATTTGATTTGATGTTGACCTCAATGACCTGGCATCCAGTGTATCGTCCCCCGTCTCTTTCCATGTAACTAACATGTCACAGACCCTGACAAGAGCCCCGTCATGCCTAAATGCCAGGGATGTGTACGGTTTCGCTCCAAAGACTTTGAAATCTCTTGTCTAAAGATGTGGTTTGTAGCATGTGTGCTCACCATAAAGGCATTTTGCTTTCATCTACAGGCATCACAGTTCAGGAATTTGCGTTTATCCATCCAGCATGTTTGTTTTACAACCTGTAGCTCATTTTGTCCCATTGTGCAATCCTTTATGATGTCTTTAGTTATCAAATATATAATATTTCCATGTTAAAATACTTTCTCATATCCCAGTTT